GCCCGCCCGCCCCTTGCTGCGCTTCTACGTCAGTGAGTGTGTCTGCTGCTACTGCATGCTACTGCCTTGATTCGTTCGTTCGTTCGGCTGCTCTCTCTGCTCCGCTATGCACTCGTTCTTTCTTCCTCCCACCGAGCTGAGCTACCTGTCCTGTCTGCCTCACATGACGGTCGGTCGGGTCGGGCGCATGTGACATCCATCGTCAGTCATGTGAGAGCATCTAACTATACAGACCGCTGATCGCCCGCCCCGTTTCTCTCTCGTTGCGTTCGTTCTTGTGTCTCTCGCTAAGCGGCTCCCTGTCTGGTGTGGGTGGGTGGGATCGACGGATGGATGGATGGATGGAGCACACAGTTTGTCTTTCTTCCCCCCACGGTGCGATGGGTCAGGTCATGCGATCGACGAAGGAGGATGGGCAACGGGCGTGTCAACACACTACAGAAGGACGAGATATAGTGAGAGGGAGCGAGATGACGTGGGTCGTCGGCGACAGAGAGAGAATCACAGAAACGCATGCTTCCAGCTGTAAGTAAAGCCAACCGCCCTTCCATCCATCCACACGCAACGCACATGCAGCCACCGACGGACCGACGCAGACAGCCCCGTAAGCAGGCAGGCAGGCAGGCAGGCAGGCAGGTAGGCAGGCAGGCAGCGAGGAGCAGTGAATGAGTGAATGAGTGGGTGAGTGGGTCAGTCGGTGAATTGGAACTTGATGGTCGGGATGATGACGTCCGTCTGGTCGTTCGAGTCGGCACACGACGCCTACAATACACACACACACACACACACACACATGAATGAATGAATGAATGAATGAAATGTGTGTCTGTGTTGCTGGGTTTGTGTGTGGATGTGATGTGTGTGTCACTCGCTGACCTCGACGGCGACGTATGTGCGGCCAGGTGGCAGCGTGGACCTGGAAATCTCCTCCCACAGCTGATCCATCCATCCATCCGCAGGTCTCTCTCTGTGTCTGTGTGTGTCAGTGTGTCCGACCAGCACCGGCCTACGTACCCGCACGATTTGTTTGTCGAGTCGGTTTCTGTGCGTGGGGAGGTATGCGTTGTAGAGGCAGGCGTTGCCCACCGACAGGATCATGACCGACACCTGGTGGTGCCTGGCCAAATAGTCTATCAGGTCACGCAACGTCCCGTTCGCTGCACCCACCATACCACACACCGCAGACACATGACAGATAGATACCCTCATAAGAAATGTCCTGTGTGGCTGGGCTGTGTCTTGTGTGGTGTGGAGCTTCCTTCCTACATATGCTGATGTGCACTTTGTCCCACGGCGTGAAGCCGTAGGGCCGGGCCTTCACCGGACCCATAATGATCGGATCGTGGTCCTGACATGACACAGGACACCCACGCCCAGATCCACACAGAGGTGTGTGTGTGCGTGTGTGTGTGTGTGACCTTGTCGACGGTCTTGATGGGCGGGAGAGGTTCAGAGAAGAGGAATAGGGGCAGGGCGAGGTTGACGAATGCGTTCTTGAAGTCCTCGATCTTGCGCTCAGCACGGTTGACCACCTTGAACAACTCCAGGCTCACCATGCCTGCACCGCGCCGTACAAACAGTGCGCCATCCATCCATCGACCATGCATGAGGCATTGATTTTGTGCCGTCTTCAGGTGCTGTGTGTGTGGTTCGTTGAGGTAGGTCCCTACCGGTGACCATGGCGGTAGTGGTGGCGATGGCAGGGATGATCTTGCCGGCAATCATCTTGCACTTGTGGCGGTCCGCCTCCGTGATCCTGTGGTGAGTCAACACGATTAGATTACCACCACACACACAGGGAGGGAGAGCGATGCATCGATGGTGGGAGGTGCGTGTGTGTGTGTGTGTGTGTGCCTGTACTTGTAGTTTCGTGCCCGCAGGTTGGCGCATGCCGTGATGAAGTCAATGTGGAAGTTGGTGTCGTCATCCTGACAAACAAACGTCGTGGGGGGTGGGGGGGTCACACACACACACGCGCCCATCAATGGAGAGGTTCCCGCGTCCGCGAACCAACCGCACCGCTGACTGACTTTTTCGAATTCCGATGGGTTGAGGCTGATGGACTTCTTGAAGGCCTCGTCTGAGAACACACACACACACACACAGAGGGCCAGACACACAGAGAGAGAGAGGGGGGCAACGATGCATAAGTGAACCCGCAGCACGTGTGTGGACGCTTGTGTGCGTGGCCGCATCCCCCCTCCCTCCCTCCCTCCGTAGGCATCATTCTCTCACCGATGGCGGACAGTTCGGCCGAGAGCTTCTGGATGACCATCTCGTCGTCGCTCGAACCCTCGACAGTCGTGTCCGTGTCACTCGTCTGATCCACACACAAACACACACACACACACACACAGAGCTCAAGCGTGCTGTGTGTGTTATCTGTGTATCTATCGGTCTGTGTGTCCGCTCCGTGCGCACCGCACCTTGATTTTCATTTCCTTGGGTCGGAATGGTTCGACTTTGACATTCCTGGCCATGTCGCGTAGGGCATTGCGGTCGCGGCACTCGGGCACTCCCATGTTGAACGCAAACAGATTCGCACACGACATCACGAAATCCTACACACACACACACACACACACAGGGAGAGAATGCGCGTGTGGCTCAGGTTTCTCCTCTCTCTCTATCTCTCTCTCTCTCTCTCTGTGTGTGTGTGTGTGTGTGTGTGCGGTAGGGCCGTACGAGGTGCGTGTCGTCAGATGCGTCGAAGCTGATGGGTGTGGGGGGCCGCTTCGGCCCGCTCCAGAATGGCTGACCTGTGTGTGGTGTATGAGGCAGGCAGACACAGACAAAGGATGGCCTGCTGCGGTGTGTTTGGGTGGGTGGGACGTACTCACCTTCGGAGGTGGTGTGGTCGAGTGGGAATGTGTGGATCAGCTGGGCGATCTGGTCGTGGAAGAAATCCTACAGGAGCACACACACAAACACACAGGTGTGGTGTGCCATTCTTCTTTCTGTGGCGGCCTGGCTGGCTGGTTGGCGGGCCTATGTACCTGGAACACCTTGACAGCCCGGTCCACACACGCCTGCATCGTCGCACCCGTCTTGATCGTTCTGACACACCACACCAGCCACAACACAACACAACACACCCATCATCACATCACACACCACCACGTCTCTGATCTGCCCATTCATTTCGGCTGCTTACGTGAGCAGCGTCTTGATTTTGACGAGCCTCTCCCTCTGCAGCGCCGGGCTGCCCTCGGTGCTGAGTTTGGCGAGGTAGGCCTGGGGGTCCTTGAGGAAGGTGAGCACCTCCTGCGGGCCGTCCTGGAAGAGCCCCTGGAAGGCGTCACGCGACCACTCGATGGTGTGCTCGATCTGGTGCGGGAAGTGCTTGAGGGTGCACAGCGGGATGCTCTCCTCCGGGGGGTCCTGCGAGTCGCCATACGACTGGGTCATGTGCGGCAACACTACCTGTTCAAACACAACACAACACATCAACGAACGCGCACTGACTGGGGAAAGTGTCTTTGTGTGTGGGGGGGAGGGAGGGAGGGCTTTGTGTGTTGTGTGTCTAGCTAGGGTTGACTCAACTGACCTGGACGTTGGCTTTGGTTCCCAGTGTGCCTGATTCGAGCAGAGGCTTCAGGTACCACACGCAGCGCTGGTCAACGTACAAACGGGCCTGACGTGGTGTGATGCAGCCACACACGCACACACACACAGACACACACATACACAACGGGATGTGCTGTGCTGTGGAGGGAGTGGGCTGTGCACTGCACTGCCACAAACCAGACCAGACCTGTATGTTGTCGAGTGCGTTGACGGTGCAGTCGAGTGAGTCCCAGAAGGCGTCGTTGAAGGTGTCCTCTGTGTCGGGACCCACACGAACCTCACTGGACTCCACCTTCAGCTCCTGCAACCAACACACAACGCACAACACACAACACACAACACACAACACACATATGAGTGAGTGGTACAGGAAGGTGCAGACGCACACAGAGTGCGTGCCGTCACAGCTGTGATGGTTTCCATCTTTGTGTGTCCTGAAGTTACTTTGTTCATTTCTTCGGCTGCAGCAGCGGCCGTCTTGGACTTTGGCTTGCCCACGTGCTCCTGCATCGATCGCATCACCAACCAATACACACCAACACACACGCACAGCACAGCACAGTACATGACAGCAGGTCTGGTCCGTCTGTTGCTGTGGTGTCTGTCTTTGGTGTGGGTGGTGTTTGGTCTGATCCCTCCCGACCTTTCTGAAGAGGAATTGTCTGTTGAGGTTTGAGACTTCGATGCGGTCCATGTCGGTCACCGTCAGCTTGCTGATCAGATCATGGATGGCACGGCACACAACCGACACACCAAAACACGTGTGGTAAGGTGTAGTATGTCTGAATGCACCCACCGCCTCGCTCACCCCTTGCCGCCACAGCAGACGCCCATGAGTGCGAAATTCTTCAAAAACTCGCAGCCCAACGCACCCGCACCGACCTACACACACACACACACACGGACACACACACACACACGCACACACACACTCGCCGTCAGCTCAGCTCTTGTGTGTGTGCGTGCGACAGTCACTCACTCACCAGGAAGATCTTCATGTTGGCGAGTTTCTGCTGGAAGACCTGGCCGAATATGGCGATCTGGTCGTCGTACCGAGAGTTGGTCGACGCGGTGTCTGGTGTCAGTCGATCGGCCGATCGAGACACCGACACGACAAGAGACAGACAGACAGCCAGACGCATGGTTGCCTCGACTTGATCTGATCCACACCATGGCGCCCACTCACTCAGTCACTCACCTGTGGCTTCCTCCTTGCCGAGGCATTCGAATGCGTCGACGTAGAGCCACTGGCGCAGTGGGCCAAACTTGCCCGTGTACTTGACCGCCTGCACCACAACAGACATAACACACACGGTTGCTTACACGTGTGTGGATATATGCCTGTGTGTGTGGTGTGGTGTGGTGTGGTGTGGCGTGTGTTGCGGACTGACTGACCTCCTGCGCGACAACGCCGCCGATGAAGGCGACCATGGGTGAGATCTGACACGACGCGTACGACACCACCGCCTTGAGCACCATCTCGTCAATCTGATCAGATCGACACACACACACACACACACACACATGTATGTGTGTGGAGGGTGGTGGTGCTGGTGGTGTGTGTGTGTGTTTGGTAAGGCGTACCTTTTCGACGGTCACAGTGCCGTCTCCGTCCTTTTGTGCCTCCTCGTTGAGGCGTGTGGCGATCTCCATGCAGTCAGACACAGCGGACGCGTCTCGCACCGGCGGCAGACGACCGTGCTTGTCCTGAACAACCACCACATCACATCACACCACAGCACATCACATCAGGACAGAGATGTGTGCGGGTGAGGTGAGTGTGGTGCGGGGTGCGGGGTGGCTGAGATACCATGTAGTGCAGGCACGCTTGTGTGGCGAAGTGGAGCTGCTCCGAGCGGCCGAACTTGGCCAGATCAGGCACCATCAGCATCTCCTCACTGAACACGCACACGCACGCCAGTGGACGGATCTGTGTGTGTGTTTGTGTGTGTGTGTGTGTGTGTACCGACCCGTCGGCGAGAGGTTTGGCGCAGCAGGTCTCGTACGACTTAAACTTGAGCGTCACCGGCACCTTGGCCTGCGTGACGATCCCCTCGCTATATTAAGACACACACACACATGCATCCCATCCCATCCACCCACCCACCCACACACACACACAGTCACACCGCCCCTCTCTCCCCCTGTCGTGCCGTGTGTGGGTGACGGCACGGCCACGTACCGTTCGTATGGCTGGAACTTGGATGTGTCGCCGAAGGTGAAGGTGTATTTGCCGGTGGTTTTGATCTGCTGTGGCGGCAGGTCGTTGACCTCGGTCATGCCCCGCACCTCGCTGAACGTCACGTAGTCGCCGTCCTGGAAGGGCAAGGGACGCTCGCTGTGCAGCGTCACAGACCCGGGGTTGTCCTGCACTCACACACGGACACACACACAGACAGACAGAGACCACCCATCTCGTGTGATGTGGGAATGTGGAGATGGGCGGCGTGCCTGTGTGATTCCGTTGATGATGGCGCTTTTGGGTTCCTCTCCGTCTTTGTCGTGGCAGGTGAACTGGTCGCCGAAGTCGACGAACACCGAGGCGGCCAGGCCGAAGCAGTCGGCCGCGATGAAGCCGATCGGGGGGCTCTGGGACCGACAGAAGTTGTTGTACTCAATCAAACTCCGGCTGGCAGCCATCACGCACACACACCAACCAGTGTGAGCATCCCTCTCCCCCTCCCTCCCTCCCTCCCTCCCTCCCTCCATGTGTGTGAGGGTGTGTGTGTGTGGGCGATTGCCACCATACCTACCGGGAGGTTTCCGAGAAGATACAGACGTTGAAGTTTTTGAGGAGGTCGGGTGTGATGGGTCCGGTGTGGATGTTGACGCTGACGTAGGTGTTGAGTTCGGCGAGCTTCATGAGGCAGGCCTGTGCGCGGGACTTCTTGCCGACGTCCTCCTCGCTCAGGTAGAAGTTGGACCCCAGGTCGCGCATCTCCACCAGAGAGTCGTCGTGAATCGTCACGGTGTTCGGACCCGCCAGCACCAAATTCTTGGCTGACACACAGACACACAGACACACACACACACACACACACACACACACATGGCACATGGATACAGACGTGCAGACAGGCGTCCCGTACCGGTCTCGATGCCGAGTCCCCTGAGTCCTGAGATGAGGATCTTCATTTTGATGAGTTTGCCCATGGTTTCGAAGCCGAATGCCCCGATCTGTCGCGAGTAGAGGTCGGTGTCGATCTGGCCGTTGGTGGCCATGTGGTTCTGGTTGGCGCCCTCCGAACCACCCGCCATCTCCACGTTCTGTGGATCAACACAAACACACACATGCATTGCATGCCACACAAGGGAGGGAGATGAGACACACGCGCCGCCGCCAGTCGATTGGCTTCGCTCTTCCCCTCTCTCTGCCTGCGCCTGCCTGCCTGCCAGTCTGCCTCCCTCCCCGCCCACGTGTGTCAGCTGACATACCATATCAGTTGCTTGGCGAAGGAGTAGAGTTGCGGCAGTTGAACGTGCACCACTGGCAGGCACCTCTGCCGCGCCTCAACTCAACCCGCCACTACCAGCAACACCCGCTGCCGAGTCACTCACTCAGATGCCCTCCTCAAACACCAGATAGCCAGCACAGACGTGTGTGAGATGGTAGGATCACACCACAAGGCCCACTCCTGACAACACAGGGAAAACAATGACGCACGCAACTGAGAATGAGCACCGACGGCCGGTTGTGGTGCGTCGTGCGGCCGAGGGAGGCCACATGCAGCAGCGAGCGCTGATCTGTCAGGGTGTGTGTCGTGTTCTTTACCTTTTTGCAGCAGATCTGTGAGACCACAGGCGCGCAGCAGCTGCACCTGCTCCAAGGCACCGAGATGACGTCTCTCACAAAGGATCGCATGCGAGCTCAGAATGTCAGTCAGCGCGGGAAGGAACCGAAGGCATCACGCCGGCAGGATGAGGATTGCAATAGCGACTGTCTGCGTCCTGGCGCTTTGCGCCGCCTGCAGCGGTTTCGTGCCGCAAAGTGGCTCTTCTCTCCTGACCAACTCTCATCAGGTACTAGGGCGGCAGATCTGCATTGGTGGCAATTGGTTGCTCATCTCATCCCGTGTCTGTCTGTTTGTGTTTGTGTGTGGGTTGCACTTTCAGCCGTCCAGGTCACGTTTGCGGTCAAGGAGGGGAGGCGCAATGCAGCTCCAAATGCTGGTGGGATGCATCGACGCAATCAATGCACAGCACCCGACACGACTGACTCACACATTCACTAATCACCTTTCTGTGTATCCGTCCGCTTGTTCAATCATTCCAGTCTGAAGGCGGCCGCCGTCAGCACTTGTCGGAGGCCATGTCAGGTCTCGGCTTGGGTGCCGTCCTCCTGGGCCTCACATACGGGTCGGGGGACCAGCCGGCCGAGGCCGCCAAGTACGGCCCCTTCGGCGGCGACTATGCCGGCGTCAAGGACCCCACCAAGGCCATCCGCAATGAGGATGCGCTCAAGAGCCAGGAGGTGCAGGCGGGCATCGAGAAGCTGCGCAAGTGGCGGGAGGCGGCCACCAACCTCGCCATCGCTCTCAAAGACGACAAAAACGCCGGTCAGTCTGACTTACGGGCAGGAGGGAGTCGATTGCTGTCCGTTGGATGGATGGAGGTGTGGATGGATGGATGTCTATCTTGTGTGTGTGTGCAGATTTGAACGCGCTGGTGCAGAAGAAGTTTGACGTGGCGGACCTGCGGATCACTTTGAACAAGATGTCGTTGGAGGTGTTGGACGAGGACGCCCAGGTGGGGACAGACCGGCTGCTGCGCAACATCATCCAGGACATCCGCGACATCAGCGTCGAGGCGCAGATCCCCGAGGGCAAACAACGCAGCCAAAAGAGGATCGAGGTCCTCATCAAGTCCATCGTCAGACTCAACCAGTCACTCGACGAGTTCAACAAATTCTTCGTCTAGACAGACGGTAGAGAGAGGGACGGGGAGAGGAGAGGGATTGCGTGCGTGTGGGTCCGGAGCGCTCCAATGGAGCTGCGTCGCATACCTGTTCTGGCCCCGCTTGTGTGTGTGTGTGAAGCATTTGTTACATGCACACATGAGCAGGTTGTCACAAGCCTTCTGGTCGGTGGCCTGTGGGCATTCCGCTCATGGATGTATGTGTTTCAAATGTCGGTCGCATCACAGCCAAGAGGGCAGAACAGAGTCACAGCGAGAGGAGAGGTTTTCGAGTGGCTGACAGAGAGATGGGGTGTGTGTGTGTATGTGGTCTGTTTGTGCGCATGTGTGTCGTGTGCGCTGCGCCTTGAGATGTGATCTGTGTGTGTGGTCTGCAAATGGAGTAGACTGACCAGACCGATGAGGGACTGACTGCCCACCAATCCGACAGACACAAGCTTGCGTGAGTGAGTGAATGCACGCGCACCGCACCGCACGTATAAACATACATAATCATGTCCAGGCGGCGCGGCAGCGTCTCGCATACATACAACACATGCACTCACTCACTGTGGAACAACGAGCAGCGTGCCGTGCCGTGCCGTCCATCCCGTCCCTCATCGTTTCCCCTTTCTCTATCTACCTGTCTGTCTACATGACCTTCACGAATGTTCTCACCCGGTCAGTCAGTCGTCGTGGCAGCTAGCTGACATCGCCCGCACACAGGCGGTCATACTCACGCACGAGCGCCGCCACCTCCCGCTGCACACACACGACATGCACAACACAGTAAGTCGAAATGAATGGTGGGTGCATTGCAGTGCATTGCATGTGATGTGAGTGACCTGGTAGTCCTCCGGCAGCTGCAGCGATGCTATGTAGGGCGAGTCCCTCGCCACCTGGGGGATGGAACTACCCGTCACTGCACACACCAACACACATACGTACACGCGTGCACAGGAAAGAGACAGACGGGGATGGATGGGTGAGCCGATGGATGAATGTCTCATCCACTTTGCTCGCTGCCTGCCTGACTGCCTGCCTCCCTCGCTGCCTGCCTGCCTCCCTGACCTGGCGGCGTTTCCGACAGGATGCCCGCATCGTGCAGTGACAGCTCCAAAGCGTCCAAATCCCTGCACTCACTCACGCACAAACCAACCAGAGAAAACGTGACAAATCAAACCTCCTGTGCGCAAACGTATGGTTCGGGCGTCTTTCTCTCATCCCATTGCGTACCGTTCTAGTTGTGCTATCGCAGGGTCGATGGGCTCCGCTGTCAGCCCGACAGGCAAAGCCATGCCCCGCCGCTGGATACCCTCCAGCAGCCGCTCAAACTCGGAGGAATCGCACAGCACATCGCCACTCTGATCATCCCTAGCCCCACCTCCGCCCCTGGCCACCGCCACGTCTCTGTGCTCTCTGTGGCCTGGAGAAGGAGACGCGGCGAAGTCGCCCTGCAGGCTCGCGCGGATCCGCGAGAACGACTCGCTGAGCACGGCTGGTGCCGACGGGTAGCGGCTGCCCTGGACCCTCCTCCTGCTGGTGGTGGTGCCGATGGTGGTATTGGGTGGCTGGCGACTGCAAGGAGCGCCCCCGGCCCCCGTGCGGACCAGCATCGGCACCGACTCCCTTTCTCTCTCACTCGCAGCAAGGAAACTGCTGTCATCTTCTCCGCGGGAGAGCGTGCCATCCTCAGCCACGGCGTGTCGGCGTCTGGTGGTGGGCGCCTTCCCCTGTCTGCTCAGCCATGGCTCCACACGCGGCCCCACACCCGACCAATCCACAGTTTGCGCCGGCACCGCCTTGCTCTTCCGACGCAGGAACGGCTTGGTGCCCCCCGAAGCAGAGGCCGAGGATGGAACCGACATGACCGTCATGGGCGAGTGGGCGCACTTGGCCTCCTCATGCTCGTCCTCCTCGTGCTCGTGGATGGCGTCTTCTTGTTGGTCTCGTTCGTCTCCCTCCGGTATGGTGGGGTTTGGTCCGGCGATGTCTGCCCGTCGAGTGGCGTGTAGGTGCATGAGGGATGGGTCGGCAGTGAGACCCTCACAGCCGACGCCGGGCGGGAGGTGCTGCGAGGTCGACACCAGGCTCTTCTCGCTGCCCGCTGTCCATGTCGACGGGGGCGACGCCGTCTTGTTATTGTTGTTGTTGTTGTTGTTGGGGTGCGGCGGGGTAGAGTGCTCATGCTCATGCTCCGGGATGAGGCTGCCATCCGCAGCCGGCAGCAAGCCCAATCGCCTCGCGACGGTGGGGATGATCTGCTCCTCGGGCGGCGGCAATGGCAACGGGTGGTGGTGGCCCTCCGCCGTCCCGCGCCTCCCGAACTTCCCAACCACCTCCCTCCGCTCCTCACAGCGTCTCGTCAGCTCCCCGATCCACCGCATTCGCCTCCACCATCTCTGCAGCCGCCTCACCAGCCTCACCAGGGTGCACATCTGCCGCAGCCGCCATCTCATGAACACCACTCTGCGCCTATGACGCCACCATCGCTGCACCCTCAACACAGCCGCTGATTCGGACAGATACCGACGAGGCCCATCGGCATTGTCAAAAGCATCGCGTGCGCGACGGTGGGAAGAGCAGGAGGGAGAGGGCAGCAGCTTTGCCGTGAAGTGGGGAGGAGGAGGGGGAGGGGGAGGGGGTGGCAGGGAGGACGGGCAGGGAACATGGATGTCCGTCTCCTCCCTAGCGCCTGCTGCAGGGGTCTGCCCATGGCCAGGGACGCGAGGCGAGAGAAGATGGCCCTCCCGAAACCGCGGTGGCGTGGCGTCCTCACTGTCTTTCGGATCTTCAAACTTGGCGAACAGATGCCGGTCTCTTCCGGCGTGGGCATTGGGCACATATCTGGCCGCCGACAGCTGCGGAGAGGCATTGGATGGCGTCGGGACAGCCCGGTTGCGGTGCGCCGTCAAGGGGCTCTCACGGTGAGAGGACGATGGAGCGGAAGGAGGCCGTGAGAGAGAGGGCGCCTGCGATTGGACGGGCTCCCTCGCAGCCGGCCGCCGCGACGTTGAGGTCGTGAGCGATAGGGGACCATTCGTTAGGCGCAGAGAAACGGGCTTGGCCAATGGGGATTCCTCCAGACTCGCAGCAGCGGGCACTGCATTGAGGGCCGGTGGTGGGGCTTGAGGGAGGGGCGGGCGGTGGCGATGGTGAGTGTAGTGAGTTCTCAGGTCCTTCTTGGGGAGCTGTGTGGCCGCATGCTGCGTGTTGCGATGGGATGAGGTTGCCGTGGTGGAAGGCGTTGGTCTGGTGCTCCTGGGTGAACGTTGTGCCTGTAGCTTAGCCGCATAGCCCCGGGGGACGTCCGCATCACGCAAACGGCCTCGCATTTCTCCAAAGGGTTGCGAGCGTAGGGTTCAAGGGGTAGTAGGGTTTCAAGCCCTGAAAACCTAGACGAGAAACCAGTCAGTTTGATGGTGAGTATGAATTGATATATGAGTTGCATGAGATGGAGCAGTGGGTGCTTGACGCTGACTTCTCAGACTAGCAGCTACATGGTTCCATGGGAAGGGCAGATAGGCCTTGTGCATGCATTCTGCATGTGCCTGTTGCCTGTTTGGTGTGTGCTGTGGACAGAGAAGATGCCTGGTTGCGCCGGAAGGTAGCGCCGGGCTTAGGGACAGGTGTCTCGTCAAACCCTTAACCGACCGACCGAAGCCGTGTGCTGATCTTTGATGAGACCATGGTCACAGAGGTCTTCCCATTGTTTGGGCCTTCATCTGTACTTCTGCGCGATGCGAAACGATTGCGTTGGTGTTGACGCAGACGCAGCCTGGCAGATCTGGGATGATCACAGACACCGAATGAGGTGCCGGGCTGCGCAGACACCGAAGGCAGGGATGGCGCGCCGGTAAACGGCTTCGGCGGACAAAGGCGTCATCGCAGACGATGGCTGGGTCAATCAGTGGGTGCCCGGCAGACAGGCGGGTGTGGGTTGCCACGGGCGCTGACAGGTAGGTACCCTTACTTGGCACGACGGAAGCAAGCAGTTCTCTGTGTAAAAGATCTGCCCCTTCGTGTGTGTGTGTGTGTCAGTCTTCAGGTGGAGGGGGCTGTTGCACTGGTGCATTCGCTGTTCAGCAGCAGCAGGGTCAGCCAGCCACGCGCCACGTGCTACCAACAAGGCGCACACAGACAGACATATGCACAAAAGTGCTGATTGGTCTGTCTTGTTCAGGATGTGGGCTGCCTCTCTGTGCGGGTGCACACCGAGCCAGACCTGGTCGACCGCATTCAGCCCGCGCTCAATCATGCTGCCACGTCAGCCGCAGCCAACGGCACGTCGCGGGCAGATGGTCTAGACGTTTTGGCGGTGGGGATATCGCCCGACGAAGTGCCGCTTGCAAGAGGGCGGCCTCCCCAGGTGGTGTTCAACTTCCTGCGGTTTTACCTGGGCGACCTGCTGCCTGAGGCCGACAAGGTCCTGTGGACGGATGCCGACACACTCGTGCAGGTCGGTGGACGGGAGGGTTGTGTTGTGTTTCGCTCGACCCGATCCATGATATGATGGGATTTGGTTGTGGAATTGACTGCATTCATTGTAGAGGGATGTCGGTGAGCTGTACCATTCGTCGTTGGTGGACGATGGTGACACGGGCATTGCTGCTGTGCCGCGGGGCCCCGCCTTCTCTCTCAGCAAACTGCTGCCTCCACAGCTGTGAGCCGAAGATACGTCACACACACACACACACATACACACACGCACACGCACTTGTGTCGCTTCTCGGTTATCTCTCTTATTTCAGCTATTCCCGCCTCGCCGCCAGCGTGCCAACGTTCGACGACGTGCAGATGTTCAATGCGGGCGTGTCGTTACTCAACACACAATACTGGCGCAAACTCCAGCTTCGACAGGTAGGTGCACAACACACACGGGCATGTTATGTGTGTCATGTGTCCTAATGAATGTGGTGTGGGTCGTGGTCAGGAGGCTGAGGGTCTGATCGGTTTGTTGCGTTCGGCGAATGCGGCGACCTTCCGGGGCATGAGCACGGTGGAGTCGTCGCAGCTGCCGCTCAACCTGCTGTTCAGACAGAGGCGGGTGGAGCCGATCGACGACACGTGGAACGTCTCCTTCTTCGAGTGGCCACCCACACTCATGGACGTCCTGCTGATGCGGCGGACAGTAAGCCTCGTCTCGTCCTTGCCACCGACGAACTACAAGGGTGAGTGTCTTGTGGGTGTGGGTGTGTGTGATGTGTGTGCAGAAGGATCACTGGGCGGTGTTGCGTGAGGCGGCGTTGATCCACTGGAACGGGGAGGTCAACAAGAAGCCCTGGCTGGTGGTCGAGACCGACATCGCCATGGCAGACACACACAGGATGACCAAACTCAGACAAATGCAGGTAGGTACATCAACCATCCAAGCAGCCACACCAGGGAAGCGCTTATCTGCTTGTGTGCGTGTGTCGGTCCATTCAGGAGTTGTGGTGCCCCCACTACCCCCCCTGTCTCTCAACCAGCCCGCCACCTCCCTCCCTCGCAAAGCAATGGCCGTGCCCCCTCGTCTGCCGAGCGCATCTAGACAAGGACCAGCCCCCACTCACACGATCCTCGTTCGTGTCCGTGCCTGCGTCATTCCTGCCGCTGCTGATGCTTGTGGTGCTTGTGCTGATGGCGGTGAGGCCGTTGGTGCGGCTTGGGAGGGTTTTGATGGTCGTCACGCCTCTCAAGGGCGGCAGACGACGGGCAGCGGCCCCCACGGAGTAGATTGAGGGAGAGGGATGTGGGTGGGGTGGGGTGCGTGTGGGTGGTGTGGTGCATGGTGTGGATACGTCTGACGAGGGAAGAGAGGAACCGGTGGGTGCTGTTGATCGGCTTTATTCATATGTGGTGTCTGTCCATGTATGTGCCCTTTATGGGTTCTGGACGGTGTAGCGCTCATGCCTGCTTTATTACTACCCGTGTGGACGTCTGTGTGTCGTAATTATACCTGTGTGCTCAGAAGGGGCTACAACGGTGTCCTGTGTTGTATAGATAGATATGGACCGTTTAGCGGTTTTCGTTGACGCGAGCAGCGCTGCAGTGTCTGCTTGCAAAGTGTTCGGTCAATCATTGAACAGGGAAGCACACACGCACATGGACAAGTCTCACCCCACCGCCCGCCCAGTCCACCGTCACCATGCGCACATGTCCACCATACCCACACACACGCGCACCCGCTGTACACCAGTGCCGGCACTCCTCCATACGGGCATCGTACCAGCCATAGCCCGCCACACTTAGCCACACGCGCACACCCTCCCACACGGCGTCAGCTGGTGTGGTCCACGCTGCCGTCTGTTGGCGTGATCAGACGTGATCTTTGCCCATGCGAGATGCCTCGAGCCACGATTTGCACACGGCCTCAATACTCCCGATGTCGTAGCAGCTCGGCAAGTATCGCATGGTCATCATGACCTCTGGGCTGAGCTGCGGCGCTGCATGACCTCCCCTCCCTGCGGGACGCACCCCGTCGGCACGCTGCCTTGACGCCACGCATCTCTTATACAAAGAGCGATTCGAAGTGATGACGGACTCCGCCAAAGACGCTGAGGCGGAGAAAGCGGTTCTCAATTAGTTTGGTCGAGAGAGGCGGCGAGGATAACCTGGCCAACGGGTTTGGTTGCGAGCTCGGAAAGACGAGGAGATGCATCCTCCTCAATGCGTGGGAGCTGGTTGACACATCGCAGAGAGAACGATGTCAGTGGAATGCGGGTACAGTACCACTGTGACCTCATCTGAGCGACGCTGCATCGAGCAGGCAAGCAAGCAGGCAGACAGCCAGCTGGCAGACAGACCTGCAGGCAGGCGGGGCAGGCGGGGATGCACGAGAAATAAGCAACGATATTTGAGACCTGCCGTTTGTTTGGTATGTTTGTCAGGTGGTGGTGCGGTGAGGTTTTGAACTACCATGCAGATGTCTGACGATGCTCCGATGGACGTACACAAAGATGACGGTGACGGTCCGACTGCCTCTGCAGGTCTCATCCGCCACCACCACCACACACGTCTGATGGACAGCCCGTGTGTGATGCCGTGTCTGTCTGTCATGATTGTGTGCTGCATTTGGGCAGGGCGGCGGGCCGGGTGCAGATCACGGCGGCGGTAGCTCTCGCGATGTTGTGCAGATGATGAAATCGGTGAGAGAGAGTGGGGGAGAGGGCTGGCTACTCACATATATGACATACAATCAGCAGGACCGATGTCCATGGATGTGTTAACTACTTTTGGCTTGCAGGTTGCCTCTCAGATTGCGTCTGATCTTGAGCGGGCAGAGGACATCATAGCCACACATACCGACAATGATACACAGGTGCACGGCACGTGGAACAACAGACAGGCGAGCAGCGGCACTTACTCGTTACCCACTGTCTTGTCGATCTGCTGTCTGCAGGATGGTGGTGGGTCGCTGTCTGGCCGCCTGTCGGCTTACCTGAGGACTCTCAGCGACTTCCAGTCCGCCCTTCGCAAAGACATGGCACAGACCACTGACCACGACACAAAGGTAAGGATGGCACGACTCATAGACACTTGCCCCACACACGCCGATCATTCCACTTCTGTCTGTCTGTCTGTCTGTCCGTGTCAGCGCAATGATCATACCGATGCGGATACACAGCACAGCAAGGAGGTACACACAAACTCATAGACAGGCCGACGCACACACATGGGTGGACCACGTCACACGTCATGTGTTCAGGTGGCGGTTGGTGAGGACGGCAAGCGTGGACGTGTAGACGCCCTGGCTGATGCGAGTAGTGGAGGTACAACACACACACACACACACACACACACTGATGGGATGCAAACGTATGGCTGCGCGGTGTGGTGCTTTCAGATGGTTCAGTTGATGTGTGTGGTTCTGCAGCAGCGACACAGCAGCAGGGCGTGCCCTTAGAGGTGACAGAGGGAATACGAGGATGTCCACACACATATCTCAACCTGATGCCTGTCTGTGTGTCAGAAGGATCACGGCCGTCCGTGTCTGCCGGGTCTGCCCGCAGCCGTCGTGGGCCGCCTGGGCTACTTCCTGACCACCATCGACAACGTCCGCAGCCTCTCGCGCGTCAACAGGGAGATCCACGAGAAGGCCACCGACAAGACGTACGGCGTGTTCCGCAGCTTCACCGTGACGCGTGGCGAAGAGCCCACCTACCAGAAGATCAAGACGCTACAGAACTTGAAAGACGAGGTCAGATGAGAGTGGAGGGTCGTTTGGCTGAGCTGTGATGTGATGTGTGACCTTATCGTCTGATGCAGGCTAGGACCCACACGAGGGCCGCCGAGACGACACTTGGCCTCTTCGGCAAGTTCGCTGACGTCTCTGTGGTAGATGATGCCTGCCTAGTCAAGAAGATGCCGCACATGGCGGTAGGAGGCCTCACAGGGGACACATTGAAGGCGTGTGTGGGGGTTCAGCGCTCTGTCCATGTTTGTGTGTGTGTGTGTGCAGGGCAGGATCCAGGTGGCTCATGTGGAGGCTGGCTGTGTGCCGTCTGTCGCGTCGGAGCTGCTGGAGGCCAGCAGGGACACACTCAAGAAGATGACGCTGGACGTGGAGGAGAAGGACCGCCTACGGACGTCGAATGCCGAGCCCATCGTGTTCTCCAAAGTCACAGACCTGGACCTCCTTGGCCATGCAGGTCTTGACCACATCAGGTACGCAGAGAGGGGAGTCAGGGTTGACCCCACCGCCGAGTCATTCTTGTCTTGAGTCGACGTGTGTGTCTGCAGTGCTCGTTGCTGGACCTTCCCGGCAGTCACCACACTCCGAGTCGGCCGCATCTCCGGTGAGATGGCCACCTCCTTGGTGCGTCTGCTCCGCACATCGCCCAAGATGGAGCGGCTGGAGTCCAGCGACGGCATCACATTCGACGACGCCCGGTGGAGCGACTTCCTCGATGCCCTCGTCGGCTGCCCCCACCTCACCACCATCGCTGGCATCGGGATCAAGATGGGCCACTTCGTCCGCCTCTGTCAGCTCAAGAACGCCCTCGACCAAAACTGGAGCAAACCAGACAAGAAGCGTACGTGACCAGAAGGACCGAATCGCTTTAGTCGGGGGGCTGGTCTGTCTATCTGCCTTACCCGTTGCATGCAGAGGCGCCGAAGAAGCTGGGGTTCGTGATGCTTGATGACATTCCGTCGATCGGTGTGGCCGACATGGAGGCCTTTCGTAGGTGGATGGACTACGGGCAGAGGCAGGGGGCGGCCGACATGGCGGGCATCACCAAGTGGGCGGCAGACGTCCATTGCCAGATCGAGTGGCCGAGAGTGAGCTTGCTGACCATCGACTGCAGCAGCGACGCCACTGCTCTTCCTGCGCCCGGCGGCCCCTATGGGGACATTGCAACGCCGCTGGCGGCCAAGGCGACCGAGGTAAGGAGCGCACAGACACGGGAGGGAGTGCACCAGGCAGGGCACCAACGTGTGTGTCTTCGTGTGCATGCAGGTCAGTTTGAAGCTCGGCGGGACAGCGCTGCACGAGTCGTGGCGGGGCAAGCTCATCTTCCACAACACCAAGAAGCTCACCATCAACATCAAGCGCGGCGCGAGTGCATCGGCAGTGAACGACAGCATCCCCGAGTGGCTGACTGAGAGGGAGGGGGCGACGAGCCGCCACTTCCCGGCTGTCGAGCAGTTGACGGTGCACGATCTTTCGCTGTCCTTGGCTGACGTGCGTGCCACCAGTAGCAAGCTCAGCCCGCTTTTGGGCGAGTTGACGACACTGAAGAGTGTCACCTTCTCAGACCTGTCTAGCTTTGCTGCCGCCCGTGAGCTTCTCTGCTACCTGCCCGTAGATCAGCTAGATGTGGTCGACATTGCTGGGTGCGTTGGCGATGTGGTGTCTGAGTGGCCGGCGGACGCCCCCGCCACGCAGGGTGTCCGCCGGCCTCTCATCCATCGCCTGACCTCTTCACGTCTGGCCAGCAAGAAAGGCGTGAGGGAGTTCATCAAGGTAGCCTTAGCTGTGCGATCAGCGAGTGTCGAGTTGAAGGCATGGCTGCGCGAGAGCGAGTTGGGGGGTGGCTCACCTCCGGATTTCAGCTGAGTGACCTCCGCTCATTTGCGGCTGAGAGCGCCAGGCAGGCCGCCCCGCACTACACTGTTGAAGAGAGTGAGTGTACCGAGCCACAGTGCAGCTCTCCCATGTATGGCCTCTCACTCACACTGAAGGCCACATGAGTGAGGGAGGTGCAGCCAGACAAGCAAGGTATGCATGTAGGTTACCCTTGTACATATATACAGCGAGGAGGGAGGGAGTGGAAGAGGGGAGTGCTTCCTTGTCTGGCGTCTCACACTGATTGATGTGATCCATTCTCGTCGGTGTGCGTGGCATCGGCGGATGAGAGAGACAGTGTGTGGCAAGCTACGAAAACATCGCCTGCTCTCTCTTCCTCTCTCGTCCGTCGTGTGTCGCCCTTCTTCCGTCGACCGACTGACCATCTGACTTACATCTAGCCATCCATCCATGCATCCATCCATCCATCCATTCGTGCACTCACTGGTGTGTCGGTGGCCGTCGGTCGAGCACGCAGCAGCATGTGCACGTGCAGTCACTCGCTGATGCGTAAACACACTGTAGAAGATGTATCCTTGCGCTCTGTCACGCGTTTTCCTCTTTGGACGGCATCGCATGGCAAGGGTGCGTTGCTGGTGGATGGAATGGACGTCACACGTGTGTGCACGGTAGACGGCTGGATGGATGGATGGATGGAAAGAGACACGAATGAATGCATGGGACAGTGACGTCATCTTAATGTGTGTGTATCTGTGAGTGCTTCTCGGTCTCCCGTTCTACGGAAGCAGCAGCGGTCGTTGGGTCAGTCAGAGACCTAACCTTATCATGGTGGAATGGCATTCATTCAATCAGAGTCCATGGATGTCTCGTTAGTGTGCTCATCACCATTTTTTGTTGCCGGATCCGTCGGTTTGGCGGCGCGGCCTGGCTGTCTCTTGTCTGTCTGTCTGTCTGTCTGTCTGTGTGCCTGTGAATTCAGGAATGCACATCGCTAGTTATAAAAAGCCGCCTGCCTTCCCGCCCGCGCGCCCCCGCCGTCGTGCGCACACGTCACACCACACCCCATCACACCGCAGCTTCCATGCCTTTCTGTTGGTTCTGTCTGTCTGGTGTGACAAATTATGCACACACACACGCGCGCACATATACACACACATACACATACACACGCACATCATGACCACGTACTTATCAACAATTATGCATGCATTTGGATCCATCAATACTCGTATGGCATCGATTCGACATGACTGACATGCAGATGGCCACCCATTCACTTATTATCCATATTAGCAGCAAAGAAGGGAGGAGAGAAGCGCACTTGCACTCACAGCGACGGACGGACGGACAGACGGACATGGCTCCTCTCCTCCATTTGTTGGTTGATTGCGTCAATGCATTCGGCGGGTACACACACACACGCACGCACGGAGAGATACGGCTGACATGCGCACACAAACGGCCGGTCGATGTGATGGATGATGGGAAAAACACCCATACACAACCTAAACAGCAGCAAGCAACAAGGAAGGAAGGCCACGAATTGCATTTATGAGTGAGTGGTTGGTCGATCGATCAGCGGCCAGCCAGGCAGGTCGGCAGGAAGAGAGAAAGAGGCCAGAAGAGATAAATAGCCGCAGGCAGGCAGGCAGGCAGGCAGAAATCGGGGCCATCCCAGAAATGCGTCAGACAGACAGACAGATAGGCTGTGCGGGTTGGGGCGAACTTGAGGCTAACTTGAACAGAAAAAAGCACACCAACACGCACACACAGACACAGAGAGATGCATACACACATACAGGGTGGAGGGTGAGGTGAAGGGCGTTGGTTGTGACCGAATTGGTAAAAACAAAACTATCTATGCGCATGAACGAACCAACGAACGAACACGCCCTTGGCTGTGTGTGCTATGCCATACGCCCCACGGAGGGGCCAGGCAGAGAGAGGAAAGAAAATGTCCCTTCGCTATAAACGATGTTAATAAAACCATACACACATACGCACATACACACAGACATACGCACACGTATACACGCATCGACCACAGGTACACACGCATCGGCCCCATCCATGTGTGCGGCCGTCTCTCTCTCTCTTTGTCCGCGCGTGTGTGTGTCTATCTATCTGGGCGAGAGCAGCGACCGGCGTTCGTCTTTGCCCCTGATGAAAGGTGCGGGCGGGTCGAGCAGCACCTCTGACATCCTCATGTGCGGCGGACGCGGTGTGCCGTCGTAGTCACTGTGTGGGTACTCCACTGACCCATCCCTGAGTTATCCAGCGCAGCGCACACAACACACACAGAAACTTCTCCCTCCTGCCTTTCTGCCTGCTGTGTGTCAGCAGCTGGCACATACCCAGAGGAGCTGATGAGGCCAGCGAGCCTATGGTGGAACGACCGGAGCGATCCGCCCTCGCTGGCAATGAAAGGCCACATGTCTCCGGTGGTGTTGACGCCCACCGAGTGGCTCTTGACGCCGCACCCGCAGCACCACGCAAACGACGAAGGCCGAACCAGGTCCTCCTCCTCCTCGCTCATCATACTCAGCTGCTGATACGAGTCCGTCTCGGAGAAGTGCTTCCTGTGGATGTCAGCAGGGTCGAGGAAGTCGCCGCACGAGATGCTGGGGAGGGAGAAGCCGCCCTCCCTGCCGGCGGTTTGGTGGCCGTTGGTGCCTGCGCACGAGACGGCGACGCTCGACTCCCGCTCGCTGGTTCCTGTGCCGTTGGTCTTGGCGACGCCGTGGCCGTAGTAGACGCTCTCCTTCTCGTCGTGGCAGCTGCTCTTGACGGCATCGTGCTTGTGGTCGCCGCCCCCATAGCTGCTGCACACCGACACGCCCACTCCCACGCTCTCCTGCTCATTGTCCTGGCAAAAATCCGGGTCGTCATCGTCTGCATGGCTCTCGTTCTTGCCCTCGATCAGCACGCTCACGGCAGGGGTCCACCTGCCCTTCTCGAGCATCGACAAGGCGGACAGGGGGGAAGACACAGACGAGAGAGCCCCGTTGCAGGCGGCGGGGGGGCCCTGGTTGTGGGTGCTGCCGCACTTGCACGACCCGAGCGACGGCGGGGATGAGAGCATCGAGGGCGGGTGGGCGTACTCGTGAGGGGCAGTGTGGAGGCGGTGCATCATGGATGTGCCGAGGCGGCCGTGGGGCGTCATGTAGTCGTCCGTCTTGGGGGTGGGGGTGGCAGACGCACCGGGCGAGTACGTCACTGTGGTTGAAGACACTACCAACGAATCGGTGCGCGTTTGCCTGCTAAGGAAACGACAGGACAGGACACAAACAGAATGTCGAGGCTCACAGGATAGTTCCCGCTTGCTTACCGTGTGGCGTTAGTGGATTCCCCCGAGTGTGGGTCGTAGGGGCGTTTGGCCATGACGATGACCGACACACCCGAGGCGATGAGCAGCACCGTCAGGGAACACACCAGGCAGATGACCGCACACATGAAGTATATCTCCTGACACACACGACCGACGGACGACGGACGGACACCGATAGATACAACACAACACAACCAGTCAGTGAGTATGACAGATGTCTGGCTGGCTGTCTGCACCACACACACGCACCCCGTGATCTTTCGAAGCCAGCAGCCACCCCGCCGAGGCAAACACGGGCGCCAGAAGGATACACCACGGGAACAGACCCACATGCGTCTCGCCGTCAGGCTGCAGCCAACACCACACTCACACATACACCATGACACACACCATGATGCACAACCCCACACCCACCCACCCACTAACCGCGTCGTATCTCGGCGCGGCCCTCTTGATCAGCTGCCGCACGGACCACCTGGCGAAGAGCCAGGCGACGAAGACGAAGGGGGCGTAGGGGCTGGCGAGGCCGAGGATGGGGGCGAGGACGAGCGTGAGGGACGCGTTGATGGCCTCCGAGTCGCCGCGGATGCCCGGCAGCCGTTCCAGGATGAAATCTGATATGGGCTTGGGCAGCCATATCGGACCATAGTCGAAGCTGACACACACAGACACACACAGGCAGAAAAGCGTTAGGAGAGTCGTGTTGTTTGGTGGAGGCCTGTTTGCTTACGCGATCATCTCCACGAAGAGGAGGAAACAGGCCGCCAGTGCGACGAGCAGCCCCCCGCCCCCAAACGCGTTGACCGACCCCGCCGCCGCGACCGTGACGCTCTGTCCCTCACTCGACCAGTGCACCACTCTCGGGATCAGCAAGGAGCCCGTCGCAAACAGCGGCAGGATGATGGCCCGCCACCCGAACACATACCTCCTCCTCTCCGCCCGGATGATCTCCGCGGCACTCTTGACACGCTCAGGGCTTGGCTGGTGGTTGGTGGGGAGTAGTGCTGCCGCCTGGACCATCTTGCGAATGAGCATGCGCTCGAGGAGCTTGGCGACGGAGGACCCGAGCAGCAGGAGGGAGAGCATGAGGCCGACGATGAGCCAGGCGTAGTGGAGCACCATGGACTCCTCCATCACGTTGACCGAGAAGAGGCCGTAGCACAGCGCCCAGAAGAGGGAGAACACCGCCCCACCGCACCCCACAAAGAACAGCTTGGACCAGCAGGGCCAGATGCTTCCGTGCGGGGCGGGCATGGGTCGGGTGACGGTGAGGAAGAGCATGTGACCGCCGAGCAGAGCCGAGAGGACGGTGAAGGAGGCCATCCACACAACGCCCACCACCACCACCGTCACGTCCGCCTCGTCCGCCGTCCACTTCTCCAGCAAACTCCCCCACACCCCACACAGACACAGCTTCGCCGCACTCACCACACTCAGCGCCACAGCAATCGCGGCCACATGGCCGATGAACACTCCCACCAGACCCCCGCGCCCCGCCGCTTTCACCTCCACTTTCGCCACGCTCAGGCCATCGGCAGCGTTGGCAATGGCGGCCTTGCTGCTGTGTGTGGCTTTGCTCGTCGCGCTCGAGTCTGTGCCGAGTGCGTGGACGTTGAGACAGAGTGGCGTGGATGCGGGCGACGGGGCGGCCACGGCGTCGAAAGAGACGCGCTCGAAGCGGCTGCTGGGAGGAGTGAAGAAGGGTGGCGTGTTGGAAGCGGTGCTGAAGGGCGTGTTGCCGCTGCTGTTGGGCGTCCTGGGCCTCGACAAGGTCGGCGGGCTGGGGTACTCCGCGACGCCTTCGCAGTCGTTGCTGGCGTAGCTATCGAGCGTGTACATGGCTGGCGGCCGACGCAAGAGGAGTCAGGGAGGGAGGGGAATAAAGGAAGAGAGGGCGGCCGGTGTTCAAGTCCGATTATTTCAGACGCTCCCGCGGCGATAATAGCTGACTGACATTTTTTCAGCTCGCCTTACTCTAGTTTGTGGCATACCAACGATGCCTCCCAAGCATCAGCATCTGCTCACCTCCGAGACGTGGTACTATCTGGACGGCGCATGGAACCTGAAGGTCCAGGGCCAGAACCTCAGAAGGCGGTCTAAGTGGATCAACCTATGTCAGTAGGCATGGTCCAGACCCTCGTCATGTGTACCTGAGCGCACGTTGTGCATGTGTGTGACAGGCATGGGTGCGATAGGTGCTCAGGTGGAGGCCTGCAGCGGGCAGGGCCGCCCCATGGAGCTCGTCATCGACCTGTCCGACAACGACCTCAACGACAACGACCTGAAGCGCTTCCTCGTGAGCCATGATGGACGGAGGGGGGGGAGACGGTGCCTGCCGGACTCTCGGCAGACAGTTGTGTGTGTGTGTGTGGTGTAGGACGCGCTTGACAGGTTCCGACTGGATGTTAGAATCGTAATATTTAAGGCGTACAAGAACCTCCTCACCGACGCGTGTACGTGTGTGAAGGAAGAGAGACCATGAGAGCCTGACTGTGCTGTGCTTGTGTGCCTGCTTTGCGGAGTGCCGTCTTCTTGTGTGCTGTCTGTCTGTCAGGCATGCGGCATCTGGCCGAGACGATCTGGCGCTTCAAGGAGCCCTTCTGCGAGATCCACTTGACCGGCAACAACATCACAGAGGTCGGCGTACTGGACGTCCTCTACTCTATACGAGACCACCCTCTCGTCATCTACCCATGGTCCGGTTCGCACACACACACTCACACAAGCGCCCATCGCGCACAAGCACCAACCGCGCCACGAGTGGACACATTCCATTCACACGTGCAGGTGTCGTTTGGTGCCTGGGGAGGTGGATGCGCGCGACCTGCGGCCGGTGTGGTTCCGCGTTGCGCGGAACCAGGTGCATGCCGAGGAGCTTCTGGACTACTGCGACCGACATGACATCAAGTACTGCGAGGCGGAGAGGGGACGGCCCCAGTGCGACGTCCGCTCGTGCCGCATGATCCCACAGGGCAAGGGGGGCGGACACATACAGCACATAACATACTTACACAGACACACACACACATAGCCCACCGGGCCCAGCCAGCCAGCCAAACAATCGCGGAGGGAGAGGAGAGCGGGGAGGGACGTCGGTGCACAGCACAGAGAGCTGTCAGGCATGGCATGTATGTATCTGCCTGCCTGTATGTGTGCTTCTTCCCCCCTCTCCCTCTTTCCCCTGATAGACAACCCAAATCTGCGTCGCGAGGACGTCCCCCTGGTGCATCTCTACCTCTGTCGGCGCGACCAGGCCCCCACCAAGCCATGCGCCCTCGACACCTACCGGCCCCCAATGCTCTCCACCCCCCAGCCCCCGCCCCCCACTGGCAGTCGCCACCCCGGCCCACCCAAGCGCCGGAGCCCCCCACCTCTGCTGCACGGCTTCCCCCCTCTGACACCCCCTGAACTACCACCTCTGCTTCATGGACCGCCGCCCAGCATGCATCCATCGGTGCCTCGCGAGGTCATCCTGCGGCCACAAGGCGACTTCGACATGGCTATGCCGCCACACCGACGCGTGGTGCTGTCGCCGGGTCGTGCGCCGGTCATCCCGCCCCCACCCGTGCGGCACGTCTATCGAGATGACATGGCCAACGGCAATGAAGGGCGGCATTATGGGCCGGGGCCGGGCCGTGAGCTAGGGATGGACGGCAACATGCTTCCGCCCTTCCCCATCCAGCCCATGATGCCGCCCGAAGCATACTCGCCACACCATGCAGGTATGTATGCAGACAGGAATGAGGACATGTGACGGGAGGACGGATGACTTGTGTGTGGCTGGACTCTCTCTCTCTCTCTCTCTGTGTATCAGCTGAAGATTTCTCCCCTGGGAGCGGAGCACCCCTGGAGACGCCGTCCGGGCGTGTGGTGACGTTGAGGCCTCGCCCGTCAGCAAAGGACAGCGGCAGTGGCCGTGGTCGTGATCGTGGTCGTGGCACGCCTCCCTCCTCCCCTCCCTTCTCTCGTCTGAAGCCACCCCCGACACCACGACTCAAACCGCCGCCGGCCCTCAAGAAGAAAGCCTCACCCAAGAAGGCCAAGGCACCGCCCGCTGCTGCGAAGGATGGCAAGGCTGCCCCTGCTGGCACGGCCAAGGAGTCGGCTAAGCCGAAGCGGGTGGTGCAGCTGTCGCCACGGAATGCCAAGAAGGCAGCTCCAGCAGCAGCGCCAGCAGCAGCTCCAGCAGTGGCCAGCGAGCAGCAGCCGCCTGCTACCCCTTCTCCCACTCCCACTCCTACTCCTGGTCCCGCTGTGGCAGCTCCTCCCCCGCCCTTCCCTGCCCGAGACACTCATCCGAACGGCCAAGGCGCTGCTGTGTCACCCGCGCTCTCTGGTTATGCCAAGATGTTTGCTCGCTTCCAGGGGGACTCAGCATCGCCTGCTGCAGAGGTAGCTGCTGAGCCAGCCCCAGGGGTCGGGCAGGCGGTCAACGAGGAGATGCAGCCGCCGCCGCCGCCGCCGCCGCCGCCAATGGAGAGGGAAGGAGTGAGGGGCGACGACCGGCCCGACGTTGCGATGACCGGCCCGTCGACGCCGAGCAAGAAGGCCGCCCCTCCTCTCGAAGCGCAGCAACCCGGCCACGCACCTGCACCCATGGATATCTCTCCGAGGCAGGCCCCTCCGACGACGGATGGCGTCGGCACGTCCTCTATGGCCAACCAGCCGACTGCAGCCGACCCAGCCGAGAAGCTCAAGCAGCTCCGCGCGAGAGTGGTAGCGAGCCTGGCTGCCAGGGCGGCTCCTGCTTCCAAGCCAGATGCTGGGCAGGAGAGAAAGAGGGAGATCGGTGGGGAGGCCTCGGCTGATGGTGCTTTGGGTAGTGGTGCTGGTGGTGCTGGTGCAGCACCGACTGCAGCAGCAGCAGCAGCAGCTGACTCGTCTCTGCAAGACAGCAAGAGAAGAAGGATTGATTCTACTCAGCATCGGGCTCAGCAGTCTCACCAACGTGAGCAGCATGAGCCAGTGGTGATCGATCTCGACGACGAGAGCGAAGACGAGCATGATCGGGAGTCTCCCTCTGGCGCTCGGCAGGGCTCTGCGGGCGACAGGATCGGCAAGGCTCGGGAAATCGGATTGGATTCATCATCTCAGCAACAGCAGCTACAGCAAGACGCTAGTGGCTCTGCGGCTTCATCTCAGCCGCCTCAGCAGCTTCACCATCAGCAGCAAACAGATTCATTGCCCCTCCCCGCCACCCCCGCCCTCTCTCCAGGCCACTCGCCCAGCCACACACACACGGCCGCCACCCCCCGCTCGCAGAGTGGGTCGGCGGCCGAGTGGATGTTTGACGACTATGCCGACTCGCCGCACGCCCACTATCAGCGGGTCTATCACATTGGGTCGACTTTCTGGCTCGGTGAGGAAACGGTGCCGGACAGCGACCCCTCTCTTCGCGTGGACTTTAGGCGGTACTTTGAGCTGGTGACGGCGGGGGATGGTGGCGGCCCTCCTGCTGCTGCTGAAGCGGTGGGAGAGGGTGACCGAGGTGAGGAGGGTGGAGAGGGCCTGATGGTGCTCGACTGATAGATCGGGTTGTCGGTTGGTTGGTTCTAGCCATTGCTGGGTTTGTGTAAGGTGTTTGCGGCAGGGGGGTTGGGTTGGGTTGCTACGCTGTTTTGGGGTCGGTGGGCGGTTTGGCATGGTGTGTTGTCTTGCGTGACGGTGAATTGCATGACTGTTCTGTCTGTCTGTCTGTCTGTATTGTGTGAGTTCGAGAGAGGAGCTGCTGAGACCATACTGATACGGGTAAACTACGGAGGCAGGCATGTGCATGTGCGTGTGTCTGTGAGTGGACATGGCGGCCGTGCTTTCTGAGACGAGCAGTCAGTTCAATCGGCTGCAAAACAATCGACGAGTCACCTCAGAGGGCCGCACAAACCAGTTTTAGATTAAGTAGATACATGAACGGGCGACGAAGTTCGTCTAGGCACCAGTTCGTATCAAGCAAGCGAAGGGGAACAATACATGCAGAAACAATGGACAACGCTCGTTGACTGCGAACACACGTCGCACACTGCAAACAAGCGTGAGACATGCAAACAAACACACACATTCACGGAAACCAGATCCAGCAGCCACCTCACAGCCCCGGAGCGGGGCTGGTGGCCTGTATGGCCATCAGGGTCAATTGAGGGTTTCGGGTTAGATTGTAGGGTTTCGGGTTTGACGGACAGATCTTAACCCATCCAACAGAAAAGGATATCCAACGCTCTTTGTTTCGTCATCGAGGGCTCGAGGTGCTTGATGGACGTCTGCGAAGCAGAGTTGCGAAGAGAGCAGAGATGGGTCAACGCCAATCATTATCCGATGCGGCTCCTCAAGCATCACAAGCGCCTCCCCGCAATGACTCTGCCCAACCCAGCAGCGCAAGGGAGCGGATGTGCGTGTCCTTCAACACCTACTTCGGGTGCGGCAAGAAGACCATCACTTTGGAGGGTTTGACCAGGGACATGACGGTGGATGCGATGCTTGACAAGCTCAAGTGGGAGGGCGGCATCCCCAAGAGCCGCATACAGTGCCAGTGGAAGGGAAAGGAGATCACCGAGGACAAGATGAAGACGCTCGCTGAGTGTGATCTTGTCGACAAGGCCAGCCTTGTGTGCTTCGTCAAGTACCTCCCACATGAGTTCTGACCGGGCTGAGGTCGGTGATGCTGACTGACGGGATGGGTGGGTGCAAGCCGATGGCTTGGCTTGTGTGAGAGCCATTTTTCTGTCGCTGTGACGGTATGTGTGTGGGCGTCACGTCCACTGATCTACGCCACTGGTCTGCTCGCTCTTACGAGCGTGTCCCTGACTGAGGACTCTCTCTCATGCCTGTCTGTCTGTCAGCGGTTGTTTGTGCATAAGGCGTACATCCATCCAATGCATGCCCTTCCCAGCTGTGTGTGTGTGAATGGATGGAGCCTGGCCTGTGAGATGGATGGATGGATGTCTGGCAGACAGACTCGTACTTACTGCATGGCATGTGTGACACACGTGACTCTGGTGGCTTTCATTCATTGTATTAACTTTTCCTTTGTCTTGCCTGCATTGCATTGCTCGTCCCTCGCATCCATCCATCCATCCATCACACAGCCAGCCGCCGATATTGCATTACCGTATCACTCACATCCGGTCAGCTGAGCCAACCACTCACCCCAACAACCACGCTGCCTGCATTGCTCGCACCTCAACGCATGCCATGCTGCAGTGCAACCTAGCCATATATGTCGATAGAGATGTCGATACTACCCGCCCATCCATCTTGTCCATCAATATCGCCACGGCACGGGAGCGGGCGTCGCCACCCGACCCACCTCGCAAACCGCCAGCGGGCCGCCCGGCGCCCGGGGGCCGGGGAGGTGGCGGGACGATCTGCACGCCATGGGACGCTGTGATGGGCGGGAAGTTGCGTGTGTTGACAGGAGGGCATGGCGTGCCCGTCACTGTCTTGCGCTCGGGCGTCTGGTGGAGCGAGGGAGACGACATATTGTGGGGCATCAGGTGGAGCTGCATGTGCTGCTGCCTGGGCGGAGACAGCGGGTCGCTGGAGAGCACGGCGGCCATGAGGTAGGGCGAGGGCGGGTGGAAGGCCTTGTCCACTGGCACGGGGCAAGGAAAACGCACGGGCAGGGTGGTGCGAGACGGGTGCATCGGGGCTCCAGCTCCCGGCCTGATGGTGTTCAGAGGAGTGTGCTGGTGGGCGTAGGGCGACGTCGTCGTGCGATGCGGTGGCGTCACGTTGGCTGCAGCAGCTGTGACTGGTTTGCTCTTCATCCGTGGGGTAAGATTGGGCCGCGGGTCCTCCCTCTTGTGTGGGTGGCGGGGGTGGAGGAGAGGAGCCTTGAGAGAAGGGGTGGTCCCGTGGCTGCTGGTGCCGCTGGCCTTGGCTTTGTGGAGGGGGGGCGAGTCGTAGCGGGCACCACCACGAGGCACCTGAGTGGAACATGCAACAGCACGTGGACACAAAGACGCCTGTGCTGCCTGTAAGTATACTGACACACACACCACACCTTGGCAGCTTCCTTTGGTTGCTTCGCAACTGCACCATCGACCTTCCCCGCCCCCTTGCCACGGGCATTCGTGGCTGCCCCGACAGAGGGCTTCTTCGCCACCTGTGCCGCCGTCTTTGGCTTGCGATCAGTCCCTTGCCGTCTGGCCTCTTCCGCACAGACGATGCCGACTGGCCTGCCTGTGCTGTCTCCATCCTCGACAGGCGGCGGTGGTATCACCTCTTCGTATGTGGTGCCCTTGCCGGCCAGTGTGGTGGTCGAGGAGACGTTGCGGTGGACCATCTTGTGCTGACCGGAAGACGAACAGCTGGCAGAGGGAGAGGGCACCAGCTGCAAGAAACAGAGACGTGAGGCAGGTATGATCATGACCTCAGCCCTGCCTTTCCTTCCACCTGAGGCATCGGACCAAGGATGACACTACTGGCCGAAATTGCCGCCACATCCACCCCTGCCGGCATCATTCCCTCCACAGACACACGAATGCCCTTCTCCTTGACCTGCTTGACTGGCAGCACCAGCCGCCCTGTAAGCTCCTTCCAATCGGCCGTCGCCCCATCCCCATGAACCACCAGCCGGATGCCCTCGCCCTCCTCCTCGCCCTTCGCGGCCTGCGGCTTTGAAACAGCGGCGAGTTTCTCCCCAGTGGCAGCGATGAGGTGGAGATGGGCCAGCTTTTCGTATTTCCCAGCCTTGCGCGCCGCACCGTAGAGGGCGCGGAGGATGGATGTCTTCTGGGTAGAGGGTAGGTCGGACAGGGGAAAGACCGGCGGGCCGCTGAGAGAGCGGTGCACAGTGGTGCCATTGGCCATCGTCCTCTTGGTGGAGTGCTGTCAGGCGGACGAAGATGCGATCTGGTGGGCGGCTGAGGTGGCGCTGTCTCGGGCAGTGGGGAGGAGTGTCTCTGGAGTGGCAATGCGAGACTCATGCTGCTGAATGCAACGGACACACGTAGATTAGATGGCAAACGGCTGTCGGGTTAATTTATTGCCTCCGTGTCTGTGTCACACACCTCACCTCGAGACACTCTTTGGATGCCTCCAACAGGTCACGGGGGTGCGTGCGGCTGCCGTCTCTCTCCCGGGAGCTCCAGCACTCCTCAAAACAGCACTGACGCTGACAACCAATCTCAAATGATGGATGGGCAAAGAGAGCTCATGGCTGTGCTTCCTCTTTCTGAGACTCACGCTGCAGACTTCATCTTCGTCGAGATCAGAAACGACGTCCAAAACAAAATCGTAGTAGGGCGACTCGACAGACGAGGTGCCGTCATCACATGCACCACGGGGAGATGGCGCGGGACTCCCAACCTCAAACGTGGGCCTGCACACACTCACACATTAGATAGACAAGACGGGCGGTGCATGCAGAAGAGGCAACTCCATCGGAAGGCAAGGCCGCATCATTGCAAAATGTGGCAGGGTAAGCGCGTGCGGCAAGGGGGTGCCTGTTGGCTGTCACCTGGCGTCATGCTCCTTGCGGTTCTTGCCGCAGCAAGACGCCGCCAGGCCCATGGGGAACGCTAACTCAGGAACTGGCGCCGGCTGCCTTAAGGTTTGCAATGAGAGGCTTCAACAGAACGTTCTGACAGTCGAGGCTACCCTGGAGCATGCTGAAGCCCCGACAACCGCTCTAATCAACCAAAACGCGAGACGCCCCCACAACTGCGAGCTGTAGCTCGCGACTTTCGATTCGCAAAACCCACAACCGAAGAGCTTTGCGGATGATTCGGCCGCCTCCCTTGCCTTTCAAGAAGAGGCCCTCATCTCGACTCATCTCGCCTTCACTCCGTTCTGACGGACCAGCTGCTGCAGTGCGGCCTGTGCCAGCTGCCCTCGTGTCCAGAAGCAACAATGCTGGCGAGCTCGGTGCGAGCGCTGCATCACGGGGCGTCCATCTGCGAAGGAGATCTATGACCCACCACGCCGCCTTTGCGCCACCACACCGCACGGCATTGAACCCGTTCAGGCGGATGGACGATGCGTCAAGAGGTAGAGGAGGACGATGCATTCCATCTTGTATGCCCTTCCGTGAGTTAAGCTTTCGCTGCAGATCTGTCAGTTCGGCATTTTCCGAGCGGCATCATCGCCCGTGCATCAGACGACACTGTGTAAGCCTCACAGAAGAAACAAGCACACGGCACACGTGGCACACATGACGACCCCTGCTTCGCTTCTTTGCTGTGGCTGTTTGCAGCCCGATGCTCGAGCGTCAGGAGGGTCTGCTCATCGAGTACCTGCCGCCCGAGTCGTGCACCGCCGAAGCCATCGTGAGGGCGTGCAGGGAGGAGGGCCTGCCTGTCGATGCCAACGATGTGTTGATAATGCGGTCTCGACTCGGACGCCCCACAGGCCGGGCCATGGTGGCCTGTGAGGAGCCGCTGGGCGGGACGGCCAGTGAGGACTTCCTGCGCCATCTGCCCAGGGGCACTCGCGTCAAGATCATGGACAAATACGATGTCCAGGCATTTGTCGAGCAGTAAGGGAGGGAGCGATATATGCACAGTGCAGTGCATATTTGTGACTGATCTGTCCGTTCAGGTGTGAGCGTTATGTGCGTCTGTCTGAGGATCTGCGGTTCTTGGCGCGGCCAGAGAACTTCCGTCGCACCGTGACCATCACAGAGCTGCCCACCAGCTACGGCCGGCTCGATCTCGCCTACTTCATCAAGAAACACGCGAACGTCGATCTGGTATGGGCTGTGCGCTGCGCGTGGGCGAGAGATAGAAGAAGGATGGTTCGTCATGCCATGCGTGTTTGTGTCTGTGTGTCTTGATGCAGGCTCCGCAGGACATCGTGTTTCGGTTCAAGCGTCACGGTCAGCAGTCTGATATGGCGTGGGTGGTGTGCCCGACGGAGCGAGCCGCCAACCAAGTCATACACCACATACAGGTCAGGTAGACAGCCAAGACACACCCGTCTGTCTGTCCACACACAGAGCACAGCACAGCAACGTGTTATTTACCTTTGTGTGCTGTGGCTATGGCATGCAGGAGACGGCCGTGCCCAAGAGGGTGCAGTACGGCACTCTGTTTGGGTGTTCCTTCATCTGGGCCCGGCGGTCGAGCGTCTTCCTCTCACACCCAAACCTCGACTTTGTGCCCTCAAGGTCCAAGTACCAGGTGAGAGGCGGAGGGAGGGAGGAAGGCACACCACACCACACCCAGGCTCCGTTGTAGTAGATATGATTCTGTGTGATGGATGGATGGATCGGGTGGTAGATTGTGACGACGGGCTGGCACCACGACATGAGTGAAGAGGACTTCACCGCCATGATGAACGAAATCTCATTCGTGGGCGAATGAATGACGGAACAGCTTCCTTCACACACACGCACATGCACACCATACACTCCCTCATTGCCGTGTGGCTGATTGGCTGGCTGACTGGCTGGCTGGCTGGCTGGCTGGCTGGCTGCACGGCTCCATGTGTTGCAGTACCCCCAGCGAGTGACGGGCCACTCGATCGGCGAGCACAGAATCGGGTGAGTGAGTGCCTGATGGAGTAAATGCACCCACCTGAGTATTACGTCGGTCCGACGTGTGAGCTGCTTCTCATCGATGCGATGCAGGATGTTCTTCATGGAGTTCCCGCGTATGCATGAAGTCAAAAAGGCATTCGTAAGACCGACCGCCCTTACCGCCTCATTTGAAGCCACACCACCATCCATTCCACCCCGTGTGTGTGTGTGTGTGTGTTAGGGCCGTCTGCGCCACATCAAGAAGCGCTGGGGCATTACCGAGTCAGAGGTCTTCTTCGCTTACCCCAAGACGGCCGACGTGCACTGGGCCGACGAGGAGAAATATGCCGATGAGGACTCGGCGTGCGACACTGACATCGACGAGCCCGTCGACTACTGATCCATATCAGTCAGTGTGTTGGGAGGGAGGGAGGGAGGGAGGGGGAGAGAGAAGGCAGACTAGGCTGCATGCATGGGTGAGTGGAGTGGACTGCACGTTTGCGCGTGCAATGGGTCTCTCTCAGACAGACCGATGCACGGCCTTCAGCACGAACAGCGTCTGCATGCAAATGCATGCACACATACCCGGACCGAACGGGCCAGTCTCTCGTCTTGACGTCTCTCAACAACAACCGACCGCACCGCCACACAACGCTCTTCACACGCATTGCAACTCGTACAGTCATCCATCCATCCATCCAGACATCAGTCAATAATCAGACAGGCTAGGCTATACTTGCGGCGGGTCGGCCTTTCCGCGAGGCTCGCCTGCCGGTTTTCGCTGCAGCGGTAGGAAGGATGGTGTCATGGACCCGCTCGTCTCGTCGGCGTCAAACACCGAGTGATACCTGACCAAGGCATACCATCCATACACACGAAGGAGAATATGGGTGAATGTCCGCAGGCCTCACTCCACAGATCCGAGTGTACGTGATTTCGACGTCGGTGCGGGACTTGCAGATGAAGTCCTTGACGGTGGCCAGGTTCATGTCGGCGCTGAGTATCCTCCCCTTGCACGCCAGCCGCACCAACTCCTCCAGCGGACCAGTGCTCGCCCTCCGCTCCTCCCTCTCTGACGGCCCGCCCCTCTTGGCCGCACCACCAGCACCCTTATCGCCCTGCTGCTGCAGCTTGGTCAGGTCGTTGCGAAGCCGCTCGACCACGTAGGTGCGGACCTTTCGCAGCCTCACGATCGCAGGGGCGCTGAGCTTGTGTGTCCTGGGGTGGGTGGGAGCCAACAGAGATAGACAGACGATGGCATCACACACCAGGTCAACTACTTGTGTGTGGTAGGTTAGGTAGTGGTGTCTTGTCTTGCTCACGTCTGCAGTGCTGGCAGCTGTGAGCCCTCTCGCGGCCTGAGGGTGAAGTAGACGAGGGAGGGAGGCGGCGGGGGCGTGTGGCCCTGTCGGGGGGCAGGCAGGCAGGCAGGCAGGCAGGGACACACGCGAAGAGACGGATGGATGAATGTACTGTAAGATCCGTTGGGGTTGTTGTGGTTCTCACGCACTCACCTTCCAGACGCAGTCGAATACCCATGGCGGTAGCCGCTTCTCGCTCTCACCCCCGTCATACAAACCCACATACCTGCCAACCATTCACACACACACGCCCATCGTCTCGCCTCATTCCCTTCCACCCACCCATCTATCTGCTCGCAGCCGAGAGCTCACTTGACGAGCGGCGGCTTGATGGAGTGCCCCAGCCTCCCGTCGCCCGAGTGCTTCCGCGCGATCCCCTCTCGCCCACCCTGGCCGTGGCCGCTGCTCCCCCTCTCGTCAGCCACGGGGGGCGTCTCACCAGACAGCGCGAGAATCGTCAGGTCTGGCGCGTTGCTCCCGCCGTCAGCCACCGTCACCCCCCCTGCTGCTGGCGTGCCGCTTTGTCGCGCGGCGTTGTAGAACTTGGAGGGCGAGATGCCGCCGTGCGTGATGCCGTCTGCTGTGGTTGCCTCTGTGCGGATGCCGGTGGACCTCGACCAGCGGGCGAAGAGGTGACACAGGGCACGCTGACCGAGGTTGACTGCATTGCATCCAGAGAGACAGATTACATTGGCAAACAGAAATAGGTCCATAGAGAGAGATGGAAACACGGCACACACACGCTCTCTCCCTCTGTGTCTGTGTGTGTGTGTGGCTGTCTGTCTGCCCGTGTGTGTGTGTGTGTGTGTGTTGACGTTTGAGTTCGACGTCGGCCGACCCGAGCCCCAGGTCAGATGCGTAAACCTCTGCACAGAAGGCCCGACGCTCGTCCAACTCGATGCGCAGCGCCTGATAGACAGACAGGTGCAGCCACGCCGCATTTCTCCGCCACCCTCATATTCTCTCTCGTGGAGCTCACCCACCCCGAGAGCCACATCAGCGGAGAACCACTGGGGCACCGAAACCATTGAATCAAGCTCCTCATACTGACAAACGCACCAAAGACGGAGAAACTGAGTAGTGTCGATAGATACCGATGCGGTGACATGACATCCCTCCCTCACCCCCACTCAACTTACCTTTTTGTCGAAGTCCTCCTCCTGTCCGAACTCGTTGATCTTAGCGCCCTGCATGACGTCCCACAGCGCCACTCTCTTGTCGAGGTCGCGGGTGAGGATCAGCCGCTGGTTGTGCAGCACACGCTGGCACACCAGACGGGGGACTCCACCGATGGAGTAGGATGGCTTCAGCTGCTGCTGCACCTCGGCCTCCTGCGAAAGAAGAAATCAAATCAGCACACACAACAATTGTGTGTGGAATGCTTAGCTCAGCTCCCTCCCTCCCTGGCTCACGTCACGTACATCATAGTCGTATGTCTGCAGGTTGTTGGCGGACGCCTGCCGGGGGTTGAAGGGCACCACCACAGGAGATGACGGCACGTGTGGCTGGCACATATACAGACATGTTACCGTGCCTGGTGTGTGTAATGCTATGCTGCCGTCATGTGACTGACGTACCCAGCGATGGACGCTCGAGTCCATCGTGGAGCACCAGACCGCCCCCACCCTGCTGCTGCTGCTGCTGGTGCTGGTGCTGTTGGTGCTGGTGCTGTTGGTGCTGGTGCCATCGGGTGGCATCGATGGGCCGGTGACGGTGAGGATGGGCGAGTCGTGGAGGCCGATGAGGTGCGACTCCCTCTTGCTCATATGGTGGGCAAACAGACGGCCGTCGCGGCCACCGGAATAACTGCCGGACAGATGGGATACACACACAGGCAAGGATGGGTGTAGGGGCAACGAAAGTGGCTAACTGCCTGGTCTGCTTGGCTTGCTCACATCCATGGGTGGCTGTGCAGCTTGCCCCACAGAGCCCAGATCTAGTATACACAGACGACACAAACACCCATAGGAAGGTGCCTTTGGCGCATCCATGTCTGTTCACACCACCCACCCTCACCATCGCCATCCGCTCACCGAGTCTGTGTGTGAGGTGATGGTGTGGAGGACTTTCTTGGTCCGCAGGTCCCACACCTTGAGGAGACGGTCAGACCCGCCCGTCACCGCCAGCGTCGAGTCTTCGCTGAGGAGCACTTGCCGCACGTTGTCCGTGTGACCCTTGAGCTTGAAGCTCACCTGACCCGCACGCAAATCCCAACCTACCAAGTTCTGCACACACACACGCACACATCAGCCCTGTCAGATGCGTCCCATGTTCATTCCTCTATGCTGTTGTTTCTCACTGCGGCCTGTGTGCCGCAGACAAGAACGGACCCCCGGCGATTGATGGCCAGACACCTGAAGCCACTCACCCCCGCATCAGCCAGCCAGCATCAATATATGAGGGGGTGGCTGCCGTGCCGTGGTTTGTCCTTGGCCTGTACCAGATGGAGTGTTTCCATACTTCTGAGTCGGGTATGTACATCCCAGAAGACGAAAACCGCCCCAAAGTGTGCCTCTTGGACGAACAAGCAGAGGACGATGAAGACCCCCCACCCACGCCCACGCCCACACCCACACCCACAACGCCGCCGCCACCGGCAGCAGCCCTCCTGCCCACCACATCATCATGCGACGGCGATATCACAGCCGGACCGTCATCGCCTGCAAGCAACACACACACGCCCAGCTGCAGTCCATCAACCCATCATGTCGACCCATTAACCAGCCGCTTCTTCCTCATCATTCTGTGTACCTACCAGGCCTTGCGTGTATCCTGCCGGGCCCCTCTGATACCCTTCGCACAGCGGACTCCTTCGGCACTCGCTGACTGGCGGACTGCGGGGTTCGTGCGGGCAGCGATGAGGGCGTGGTGGGGTACAGCCCCCCCAGAGGCGTCGACGGCGTCGGATCCAGCGGCAGTGGGGGGATCGTGAACGACGGTACCGCGACTGTCACGTCGGCAAGGCAGACCTTGCCATCCAGGCCGACAGACGCCAGCAGATTCACGTCGTAGGCATACCCGAGTGCCTGCACATAGTCGCGATGGAACGCCATGGTGCCGATGGCGGGCAGACATGGCGGGACGGCCAGAGGCGAGGCCCTCGGCAGCCCCCCCAGCGGCCGGGCGGGAGGGGAGGGCGGGAAGAAGGTGGAATAAGGGACAGTCGGTGCGGCGCCATTGTTGTGGCTGTCTTGGTGTGTGTGTGGGGGGTGGAGTCGTGAGGAGGGGGTGGGGGTGGGGGTGCGGTCCTCCGGTTGGAGGTCTTTGACGTCACGCACGTTGGGTAAGTCCCACACCTTGATCAGCTTGTCGCTTGAACACGATATCACTGATACACACAGGCAGGCAGGCAGGCAGGCAGAAGGACAAAACATTGCTGGGTGCCTGCCTGACGGACTACGGATGTGATTAAATCGACATTCTTCGATATCTCTTTCTGACCTTTGCGGTATGAGGGCACGATGACGGCATCGTTGACCCTGCAGCCAAACAAGCAAACGCCACGAGACTATGCATAGCCGGGTCTGTCAGTCAGCTTTCGTACCAGTGTGAGTGCTCCATCAGCACATACTGATTGGTCGCCTCACTGTCACCCAAAGACCAATACCGAATCGTCGAATCTGACGTGGGCCACCATCCAACACACATCACATTGGTCAATGGACAGACGCAGATCTGTCTGCCTGCCTGTCTGTCTGTCTGCTCACCCCTGGATGCAGTGAGCAGATGGTTTGATCCATCGGGGTCACTGAGGATCTTGGTCACGGCGTTGCAGTGACACGGCCGGGCCGTCGATGCTGCCAGGATAAACGACACGCTCTCGTGCGCACCCGTTGCAGGCGCTGACCGACGGCCAGACATCGAGATTGTTCACAGGTTTTCCTCGTCAAAGACAGAGATCTGTTTTCATCTTGATTCTCGTGAAAGAAGTGGCCTCGCCCCTCGCCGGGTTTGGAGCTTAGGGTTTGGGTTGTCGTAGGAGCTCGCAAAATTTGCGGGAAGCCGACAGTCCTTTCAACTGTATGCGGTTGTGCACTGCCAGCACGAAGCCCTCATGCGCGTGGGACTCAAGCCTAAGGTCGGACAGGGAAGATTTTACTTCCGATCGAGTGAGGATCGAATTGCTGCTTTGCGTGAATCCGGCAAATTCTTTTTGCCATTCAACGCGCTGAACCGCTCCTCAGTGTGGTCACCTACACATTCACGGGAAGAAACTGGCGAGAGAAGGCCGGGAAAAGGCGGGGGGGCGTTGGGGGTCTTTTGAGAGGCGGGAGCTTGAGCTCGCGACACAGATGGAAAGACGACGCATGAGTTGATCATGACGTCCCTTGCGAAACAAGCTGCTCCCCGGTCGATGCCACTGCGGCATCTGTCCGCCCTGCCGGAGCCCACTCTGCCTCCCACACCCAAGCGGCTCCCGGCTGTGCTGTGGAAACATCGGCAGAAGGGCCCTCCCCAGGTGTCGAGCCAGCTCGTCGGCATCACCTCACTGCTCAGCGGCACCGAAACGCCCAGCCAGATCTGTTCCTTCCTGCGGTCGGTGGCGCGGTCCAACCAGCTGGGTATGCAGGTCGTCAAGGCGTGTTTAGACAAGGTGGACGTACCATCGCGGCTGCAGCAGTTCAGCAGCAAGCAGCTGTGCAGCCTGGTTGAGAGCCTGAGGGCGCTCAGGTGTCGACACGAAGGCACGCAGCGGGGCGTGATGGCCGCCATCGACCCCTGCTCGCCGGCCAGCGACATGTTTCGCGAGGACGTTTCATCTCTCAGCGCCACTATGCTCCATCTGGCCGAGTTCGGAGGGGTCGACGGCATGGATATGTGCGGGGAGATCTCGCGGGCGCTCGAGGGATGGGCGCCCCACCTCGCCAACCCCCGGCACCTCAGCAGGCTCTCGCCCAAGGCCCTCGTGAGGCTTCTGCAGCTGTGTGTGCGCCTCGACTATCGGTCCAACCTGCTGCTGCCCGCGCTGCTGACACACGCCACGAGCCACATGGACGCCTACCGGCCGATGGACATCGCTGCCGTGTGCCGCGCCATGGTCCAGCTGCAGTATGCGCATCGGCAGTTCTTCCGCAGGACGATCGAGAGCGTGCCGGCGATGCTGAGGGGGCGGGATTGGAACTGCCAGGATGTGGTGCAGTACCTGGATGCTTTCAGCAAGCTGGGGCTGCCTGCGGTTCTGAGCGACACACGCCGGCTGGAGGGCAAGACAGAGGGGAAAAAGACGCGAGAGAATGATGATGATAAGTGGACGGACGCCAGCCCACTGGAGAGGAAGCGGCTGGCTCTCAGACGGTCCCAGGCGCTCATCACGGACCACCTCCTCCCCGCCCTGTCATCCCGCATGGAGGGCATGACCTCCAGCAGCCACTGCAGCCTCCTGGCGTCTCTCGCGCGGCTTGCTCAGCTCGATATCGATGGGTTATCAGCTGAGTGGCTGGTTCAGCACGACACAGTGGTGCAGCTGGTCCACGAGTGCAAGGGCCGGCTGCTGGCCAACCCCTCTCAGCTGGAGGCGTCACACATGGCTATGCTGTTCTTGCATCTGGGCCAGCTGGAGCCACTCCTACGCGGCCGGCAGGTCCCGTCCCCACCGCCAGTACACCCTCTTGACGAGCAGCCCCAACAGTCCCCTGTTGGTGACACCACCACCACGATGGCATCACGTCATGACGGAGGAGATGAGGTCCTTTCCCAGCAAACAGAGACAGCGACGGATCTAAAGACCTCAGAAGACTCGATCGTGCACATGAGGCCGTCGGCGAGACGGAGGGGAGGCGTGGCGAGGGAGAGAGGGACGGGATGCGCCTCAGGTGGGCTGCCAAGCCCGCGGGGCCTCCTGCTCGATGACCTGCCGATTACCACGACGCGTGACAAGCCTCCAAGTGACACAAGGGAATTGGCCGATGAGGACCGGTCTGGAGCAGATGCAAGGGAGAGCACAGCCCAGGGAGGTGGTTGTGGTTTTGACATGAGGGAGGTGGTGGTGCGGCTGGTGCCGCGGATCTTGGCGCTGCTGGAGGGCGGGCTGGTGGTGCGGCCGCACCACCTCTCCATCTGGTGCTCCACACTCGCCAAACACCGGGACCACTCACTGCTCGAGGAACAGCTCCCTGCCATCACCAAAGTAGGTTGACACAACACACATAAGGCCGGTACACACACACACACACACACTTCTCTCTTTTTCTCTGTGTGTGTGTGTGTGTGTGTGTGTATTGATTTGGCTCCAGGCACTGTGTCGTCTGGTCATGGAGCATCCCCAGGTCCCCCCTGTGGCCCAGTGGATGCCGCAGGAGGTGTCGTCGTTCACCAACGGCCTGGCCAAGCTGCACCAGAAGGCCGAGCAGGCACACGCCCGCAAGTCCCGACACGAGCTGAGGAAGTGGCAGGACATCGAGGAAGGCCAAGTGCACGAACTGCCGTCACTGCCGCTCATGGACTGGTTGGCCGCCCACCTCACCACACCTGTTGCCGTAACTACTACTGCTGCTGGTGGTGCTGGGGATGGCTGGACCGTGAGACGACGGGGGGCGACACAAGCTGTGTTGCCGCTGGCGGATTACTCGGTGAGTGGGGCGGTCGGTCACACATGCGTGTTCGTCGATGTGTGTGTGTGTGTAGGTAAAGGAGCTGTGTCTGGTGGCTGAGGCTTTCACTTCGGTGCGGTCGCCGAGAAGCGATGACGTCTGCATGGTAAGTGGGAGGGTGGGAGTGGGAGGGTGGGGGGTGGGGCAGGAAGCACACTGACTGAACCAAGGGTCCCCTTCTCGTCAGGCGTGCCAGCAGCTGTTTGCCCAGCGGGTGACTGAGCTGCAGCCGGTCGATGTGGCCTTCCTCCTCTCGTCATTCACAAAGGTGACTGACACTACCAGACGAGACGAGACGAGACAACACAACACAACACAACACACACACCACTCTCTTTCTCCGCCGTTGAGTGATCGGTATATCAGCGTGTGGGTCTGATGAGCGAAGGCTTCCTGTCAATGCTGGTGGACCGCCTCACCGACGATGCTCGGTCGCAGGCCACCCTCTCCCCGTCTGCGCTGGACGCCAGTGTGCGGTGGTACGTGGCCGTGCTGGAACTCAGAGGCATGGGAGGTGCCACCTGGCAGGGCGGCGGTAGTGGTGACGGTGGTAGTGGTGAGGGGCGGTTGAAACTGGGACCCCTGCTGCAGCGAGTCGCCGACACACTGGTGAGCGCAGCGAGTACACAATGAATGGAATGAATGACACACACAGTGTATGCGATGCGATGCGATGTCTGTGTCCATGTGCTGTCTGTGCAGTCGAGCGGTGACAATTTCCGCCTCCTGTCGGCCTCCAATGCGCTGCACTGGGCGTACTCGCTGTCACTGTACCACCACTCACACTCACCGGCCCCGCTGGTCCACGACAACGATGGCAATGCTCTGGGCCATGATGGTCAGAGTGACTCTTCATGGGAGGCCAGTGGTGCCGCTGTGCGACGGGCGGTGTTCAGGAGGCTGACGTCCGTTCTGGTAAATGATAATAATGATGGGATGGCAGGGAGGAGGGAGGGAGGGACCATGCAGACAGACAGACGCAGAGGGGAGAGGGAGACAGACGGGAGATCGGGGTCAGTCAGTCGTTGGGGTCTGTCTGTGTGTCTCTGTCTGTCTGTGTCAGGCGCAAGGCAGGACCTCCAGCGCCTATCCATGTAAGCCTGTCACTCAGTCGGTCAAACGGCAAGGGAGGACGCACTGCATTCACATGAAGTGGAAGGTCAACGTTGTGTGTGTGTGTGGCGTGCACTGCACGAGTGCAGCGGATCTGTGTCGTTTGGAGATCATCCTGATGAGCTGTGTGTATTGCTGTCTCCCCTTCACACTCAGGTAAGTAAGTACTTAAGTAGTGGAACCCACTAAACCACACCCACACGACCGTCACTTGCGGTAGATAGATATCTCGGCCGGCTGTGTGCGGTGCCTATGTGTGTGCAGGTGTCTGTCTCTTCGGTGCCTCCGCAACGTGGCGGACTCACTCGGCGCAGTGCGACAGACCGACAGGGGTGGGGTAGCTTAGCTGGGGTGCGGTGCCACGTAGTTAACTAATTGCTTCCGTCCATCCCGTCTGTGAGAATCGATGACATTTGGACAGTATGGTTGGTCCATGTGAGTACGTGTCTGTGCAGTAAGTAGCTAGGGCGAAGGTCACATCTGAGCTCACAGATACAGGCAGCACATGTCTTGTGTGACGACACAGACAGACAGGAGCATGTAGGACAGGAGTGTGTCATGTCCATGGCATGGGTGGTGTGCCCTCATGGACGAATGCTCTTCCTGGTGTGGTGGGGTGGGTGCGGTTCAGCCCTCGATAAAGCACCCTCGTGCAAAGAATGCAAACGTGGAGGGAAGGAGCAAAGCACCGCCGATAGGTAGGTAGGACAGATAGCAAATGCCCCCCCCCGCCCCCCCGCCCGCCTGAGGCGGGTGCCAACATGCGATAGATGCCCC